AGAGAGAGGTAACAAAAAGGAATGAACATTTCACTGAAAATCAATACCCTAGTTTCCTGCATCCACACTAAGAGCACACAGATGTGTAAATAGACAAGAATGCATAAAAATGGGTGGCCATTAGCTAAACATTAAATGTGACCAAAACCAAATGGATAATTAGCTACACAAAATCAGTTCAAAAGTAAAAGAACGAAAAAGGGACAGTGACCAAAACCACATGGGTGCCCAGACACCAACCTCGAAGTCTTGAAGCGACACTTCCATTGGGCATGTAAGGATAGACAAGGAGTCTCTCAGTATCCGTGCTGCAGAAGCCCCACAGGCGAAGCAGGTTACGGTGCACAGCAAGGCTTATCATCTCCACCTCTGTCTGGAATTGTCTCTCACCCCCGATAGCATTCGCGTCCTTGAGTCTCTTTACGGCCACGAGCGTGCCATCACGCAAGCAACCCTTATACACGATCCCAAACCCACCAGTCCCCAATATGTTCTTCTTGTTGAAATCATCAGTGGCAATTCTAAGCTCCTTAACTGAGTATCTCTTCAGATGACCCAGGCAAACTTCAGGATCGTATTGCTCTGGAAAGCACAAAGAAATGCCTAAAAATGAGATGTGATTCTGCATTTTGGCACAAACTAAGCAGCACACATGTGTGCACACATGTGAGCACACATCTGAGTAAATTCAAATAAATCATTGCACCATTATGAAAAATAAAAGAATTGTCTGTTGTTGTATTGGCCACTTTCCAAGAAAAGAGTAATGCAAAACTCAACTGAACAATAGAAGAAATATAAATTTAATCGAACACAAATTCAATAACAAACTGGAAAACAATTCAAAAGGGCATGGAAATTTAGAAACTTAAGAACAACAAAAAAAATATTAAAATGCAAAAATATTGGAAGGAGCAAAATTGCAGAGAACATGGAGAGAGAGAGGGAGAGAGAGAGAGAGAGAGAGAGAGAGAGAGAGAGTAATTTACGAATAAATGACTACTACAGAAGAAACAGTACGGTACCCTTAATTACGAGGATAATCGAAGGACTAAATTGTTCGACCTTAACTTAATAAGTAGGA